TGGAAATATAAAGGGTTAAGCAGTCATCATCTAAAATATATATGCCTCCGAGTCCCGTACGTTTTTCCTTTTTTAGAAAAAGGACCACATGGAAGGATTAATCAAGTGCTCGAGATTTCATACTTCAAAGGTCAAACACTTGGGGGACTATATATATAAGAAAGGCAAAGAAGACTGGAACAATCATAATTCAAGTTAAGCCTAAAAGTCTACTCATCTGAAAGTTCAGAGCAGAGTCACGAGCCAAAAACGCAAGCCTGATTCAAAAACCTATGAAGAATACACTCGTGGATGTAAATTCCAAAAATTTTACGAATGTATAGGTTAAAGGCAATATTTAGTCTTGTGGGTTGCCAAGATACCTCGAATTTTTTACAAATCTGTTGTAAAGAAAACAGTTACGAAAAAGTCATAGATGATACGTAAATACATGTAAACTATTGTTGAAAGTTCAAATGAAACAAAAATTTCCTCAAAGTTGTTCAAAGAAACATGTGTGTTCCTATTTCTTCTTTCGTATGTTTACACCCTTATAAAGTTGAGATATCTTCTTCATTACATGTCGTATATAAAAGGGCCCTCTTTTATAATTCGTGCTTGTTCAAAGAAGTCATGAAATTTACAAAGCATTTTTAAATGCAAAAGTTAAAATAGCAAAGGGTAAAACACAAACCCAAACATTAAAGTTAAGTGATAAGTAAAGCCCCAAACTTATGAAGAAAAAAGCAAGGGCAAACCACTAAAAGAGTAAAACAGAAACTCGAAATAAAGATGTCATAAAACTTGGACAAAAACTTTATAATATCATAATAACTTGGTTAAAACTAAGTATGAACTTAGTTTCAACCTGATTGTCTTTACGAAAAACCCCGAAACAAACTAGTGGCAAGGTCTTCCAAAAATATCGCCCCAAATGGGACCAGGGGTAAAACCTCCAAATATTCTACCAATAAAAAAATAAAACAACACTTCACATTTTCTTATACTTTCACTAAGAGGCATAATCAGAACCAGGAAGAACGGCATCATCAGAAGCAAGAAGAGTAACTTGAGCGGAAGGAAATTGAATAGCAGCCTCACCAGGAGTAATTTCATCACCCTCGGGAATGTCAGTCACGCGTGAAGAAAAGCTTTGACTTTGTTGGGTTTTCTCAATGGTCTCCTTGATCTTTGCAATCTCAACAGCTAAGTCAAAGCCTTTCTGGCTTGCTTCCAGTAAAGTATCATGGCGTGCGTTCAAAAAAGCCCAACTTACTTCAACGATAGTCTTGTCTTCAAGGGCTTCATAGTCTCTTTCCCAATGCTCAATCTCATTCCTGAGTTCTTCCTTCTCAATTAAGGCAACATCATAAGAAGCCTACAGGGGGCAAGTGAATTCTCTAAAAATCGAACCCTATCAGAAGACATTCGGAGATCTTCTTGAGCTTGCGTGAGCGTTTGAACGAGTTCACCAGCATAAACTTCTTTCTGATTCAATAGGTCTTTCAGATCTCTAATCTCTTCACTAGCTCTAGAAAGTTGTTCAGCAAATGAAGACTCAAGAAGGTTCTTGTCTTTGCCCGCCTGATTAGAAGAGGCTCTCTCAACCGCTAGTTCTGCTGCCAAAACCTTTACTTGCTGCTCCAAGGTACACTTGTTTTCCTCTAACACCTCCATTTCAAGTTGAAGACTCTCGTACTGCTCCTTCCAATTATCTGCCTCAGCATGGTATTCATGCATTAGCAGCTTTGTATGGACGATCCTTTTCATCATCTCCGTACCGATGAGATTGATCTACATAATGAGAAAAAGAAATGTGATATTGATAAAAGAAAATTCACATAAGATAAAAAGGCGAGGTTTATACCTTCAAAGAAGAATGAACAATATCGTTCATCCAAGTTAGAGAGCTGTGACTTTCTAGTTTAGACTTCTCAACTGGGCTTATCAGTGGTTTCAACCACACATCAGCCTGGCCAGATGGTAACTTGCTTCATTGCCCTACTTCCACTAGAGGAACCGATTTCAGCGCAAGAAGTTGTGGCAGCAGGAACGGTTGAAGAAGTCAAAATAGCCACGGGCGGAGCAGTAGCAACAATAGTAGGAACAGGCAACTGAGTTTCCATTGGAGCAGACACAGGAAAAGAGACAAGTGGCGCCTCCTCAGAAATTAAGCCAAAGTTTTCATTATCAAATCCACGAGAAAAGAGGTGTTAAGTAGAGTCACGGGGTGCTGCAGGCGTTTCTTCATCAGAACTCACTAAAGTAGCATTTTCAGGCTCAAACACAGAAACAAGACGAGGAGGAGGAGTAGCTTCATCATCAGATATGACCCGTCTTCTGGCTCGTGGCTTACAAACCAAAGAGCCTTCATCCTTCTCCTCTTCATCTTCGGAATCCTGTGCCTATCAGCCTTTCTTTTTGATGAGGAACTCAAAATTATTTCCTGAGCCTTTGCTAAGGAGAGCCTTGAGGCAGCAATTGATTCAGCACTCACACCCCGAACGGGAAACCCTAATAAAGAAAAGGGTTAACAAGTTCTAGGATAAGAACAAAAATAAAGAAGAAAGTGAAAGAGAAAGTTACCGTGAGTCTTAACTTTCCATCTAAATCTATTTGAAAGATACTTCCAATATCTTACTTCCATAGGAGCAATTGTTAAAAAAATTTCTACCCAACCATGGAAACCAGGAATCTCCTCAACAGTTCCCATGGTTGCTGAAAGAGAGAAGTAAAACAGTTACGAGAAGTACAAGCTCTTCACAAAAAAGAAGAGAAATAAAGATTGAAAGAAAAACTTATGTGCAAAGTTCCACTTAGGGAAGGGCATGTTCTCTTCACCTACTAACCCACTTGTAGGGGCGGCAACGAATCGGGCGTACCAGCCACGATCTTTATCATCCTCAGGGCTAACCAAAACTCTCTCACTTCTTGCCACGAGAGTAAAAATTTAATGACGAAATAACTTGGGAGAGTAGAGATGGATTAGATGGTAAAAGGTGGAGGGTAATTGAGCCAGATTTGCCAAATACCTAAGGCATACCACAACCCTCCATACAATAGGGTCAATCTATCCTAAACACACATAAAAGAAACGGCAAAATTCAATGATGACCGGGTCAATAGGAGGCCTAAAACCTAATGTGAAGGGATATGTATACACAAAAGAAAAACCAGCTTTAAAGGAAGTAATTCTTTGATTTTCATTAGGAACCAAAATTGGGAAGTCAAATTTCCAATGGCAGTCTCTACGCACAACACAAATCAAACCTTCAGTAATTTGGGAAGGGCAAACATCAGCACGATCATGAGAAGTCATAGAAGTGACTTGATTCCTAATCGATTCCCTATCAGAGTAGAAAGAAAGTTCAGCAGGGATGATCTCATCAACAGAAGGTTCACGAACTGGTTCATTAGAATATCTACCTCTAACAGAAGATCTATGTAAAAAAGAGGCCCTAGTTCTAGAAGATGATGGGTGAGTAGAATTAAATTGAGAAGAAAAGCCGCGTACAAAAACTGACCCTAGACTACACAACATACCACCTCTCCTACTTTTAGTTGGAGCAGAAGAAGTGGGAAGTTCGTCTACAATAAGAACTTTTCGAGGATTAGGATTTGAAGAAGACATAGTTGTATAGAGAAGTAGAACGTATAGAAGAGCAGGATGCGGATGAAGAACACTGAAGAAAGTTTTTTCGTGAAAGTGAAGACAAATGGTGTATTTATATGCAGAAGCAACCGTCACGCAAAAAAGGTAATGATGGAAACGTCATCATGAAAACTGTCACTTCGTGATTGATGCAGCCGTAAAAAAGCCCTAGAAAGCGTTGAAGAGTTGCAGAACCAATCGATAACCACCACGTGTCACGTGCATTAAATGAAAGTGACATGCGACGCGTCGGTTCAGAAGAAGGTATATGTGAGAAACGGCGGCAAAAATTCCCGCTTTAAATGAGATCCACTTCCCAAATATTCAATTGCTGAATAATTGGCAAGTGGGGGGACTATGTATTGGGGAAAAATAAATATTACACGTGGAATTAATTGTGTGGCTGACATGGCAAGACACGTGGGTCATTAGAAAAGTGACAGCTGGAAAAGAGTACTTAAAAAGACGTGAGTCTTAATAAGTACGAGTAAAACGTCCGAGGGGCGAGAAGGAACGGTTGCTCGAGTCTCTTTAGTAATTTGAAAAGACATCGGTAGAATGAACCAAGACAGGAAAAAGGACAGATTCATTGGTCTTCAATTAATGAGCATGAATGATTACATACGTTACATAATCTTCACGAAACGATTACGATAACCAATTATAACGTTCCATTAATGTCATAAATGCTCATAATGACCCAGTCATAAAGGGGAAAAGACGTTGTACTTAGAAATGTCTATATAAAGAATAGAAATGTCATTTGTATGGACACGTTCTAATTATCATTGGAATACAATTATTTACTTTTGCTTTATATTGATTACTCTGCTATTTCATACTCTAATTTTCCTTTCTTATTACAAGAATATTCCTTCTCTTGATTATCAGTAACTCGAGTACTTCTAAAAATAAGCTTTGACCGAAATTTTTATTTTCTAGTTAAACAGTATGCTTCTTGAGACTTTCACCCCATACCATCGCCTCGGGGCGTTTTTGATGCGCCTCGCCTCAGGGCTCGCCCCAAAACGCCTTTTAAAATACGGACGTGAAGTTAAGATATTGGAAATTTGGAACTTTAGAACGTTTGATGAATATGAGGTCCATTTTACTTGCACACTTGTAACCACATGATTAATGCAAGAAATTCACGTAAACTTCGTGGGGAGCGCGTATATGGGAGTCGGTTTGGGGCCCCAAAAAAAATTGTGGTTGATTCTTTGTCCAACAACAACACTGCATAAAAAGACCAATTCCCCTAAGAAATAGGAAACTCCAAATATACCCCTGTAAATTTTGATTGGTCAGATCCAGTTGCAAAAGAACATTCTAGAACCAAATAGCCCAGCCCATTAAATACTCCTCTCCTTTCCCCTCGCCCTCTCATCAAACCCTACCACAATTCTTTATTCCCTTACTTTCTCTCAGCCGTCTTCACATTCTCTTTTTTGAGTCTCGCTTTTACGTTGGTGTATAGTGAAAAAAGCTAAGTAATGGCCGGAAAAGGTGAAGGTCCGGCGATCGGAATCGATCTCGGAACTACTTACTCTTGTGTCGGTGTATGGCAACATGACCGTGTTGAGATTATTGCTAATGATCAAGGGAACAGGACGACGCCGTCTTATGTTGGATTTACTGATTCTGAACGTCTCATTGGTGATGCCGCTAAGAATCAAGTCGCCATGAATCCTATTAACACTGTTTTCGGTTAGTTTTGAGCTCAGATCTGTTGTTAGATCATAATTTTTTTGTGGTTTGTGATTTTAGCTTGTTTTGTTGTTGATTAATAGTAGAGCTGTTGTTAGATCTAGATTGAATGTTGAGCTATTGCATAATGACCTTGTTTCTGTTAATAGTAGTGTTAATGTATGTAGTAATTGTTTTTTTAAATAGTGTTAATACGTATTACCTTCTCGTTTGATGAAGGTAAATGTTCTAGAATAGTGTTATGAATTATTTCTAACCAATTGTTGATTTAGGACTTCGAGCCAGTTGTAGCGAAGTACTACCAGCACAACTATCGTCTATCTATATATGAGTTAATGTAGATGTTTAGTTGAATGCCTTCCATGTCCCATGTCTTAATTCATATGCCAATGGCTTATTCGTAATTTCATGTTCATGTTTGCTAGACATAGCCATATTAACAAAAGTGAATTCAGGATTTAAGCTTCAAGGTTTAAACCTTAAGGTTCTTAGCATTGAACCTGTTATATTTTTAAAGCTAGGGGTTCATATCTACTACTTATTGCAATCAAATCTAATATGCTCCATGTCCTGACACATTCATACTGCATCCTCCCCTAGCCATATAGGTTGTTCCACCAAAATATTGACCATTAATATGGATTTTTTGGACTGCTACCGGTTTAATATTCATGAATATCTCTGCTGTCATCGATTCTTAAAGCTTTCCTGAATTTGATGGTCTTTGGCTGTTATGTTACGTTTTGTGCTATAGTTGCCGTTCATGCATAGTGTGCGTGGTTTTGGGAGGGGGGGGGGGGATTTAACTTTTGATTTAAATAGTTTTGAAGTAAAGATTGCATGTGATTGAATCAGTACTTACTATGTGTTTACAATGGCAGATGCCAAGAGGCTTATTGGAAGGAGGTTCAGTGATGCCTCTGTACAGAGTGACATCAAATTGTGGCCTTTCAAAGTTATTTCCGGACCAGGTGACAAGCCAATGATTGTCGTCAACTACAAGGGTGAAGAGAAGCAGTTTGCTGCTGAAGAAATCTCCTCCATGGTGCTTATAAAGATGAAGGAAATAGCCGAGGCCTTCCTTGGATCAACTGTGAAAAATGCTGTGGTTACTGTACCTGCATACTTCAATGACTCCCAACGCCAGGCTACTAAGGATGCTGGTGTCATTTCTGGCTTGAATGTCATGCGTATTATTAATGAGCCCACAGCAGCGGCCATTGCTTATGGTCTTGACAAGAAAGCCACAAGTGTTGGTGAGAAGAACGTTCTTATCTTTGATCTAGGTGGTGGTACTTTTGATGTGTCCCTCCTTACTATTGAAGAAGGTATTTTTGAGGTGAAAGCCACAGCAGGAGACACTCACCTTGGAGGTGAAGATTTTGATAACAGAATGGTGAACCACTTTGTCCAAGAGTTCAAAAGAAAGCACAAGAAGGACATTACTGGTAACCCAAGAGCCCTTAGAAGATTGAGGACAGCATGTGAGAGGGCGAAGAGAACTCTTTCTTCCACTGCTCAGACAACAATTGAGATTGATTCCTTGTATGAGGGAGTTGACTTCTATTCCACCATTACTCGTGCTAGATTTGAGGAGTTGAACATGGATCTTTTCAGGAAGTGTATGGAGCCAGTTGAGAAATGTTTGAGGGACGCCAAGATGGACAAGAGCACTGTACATGATGTTGTTCTTGTTGGTGGATCCACTAGAATTCCCAAGGTACAACAGCTGTTGCAAGACTTCTTTAATGGAAAGGAGCTTTGCAAGAGCATCAACCCAGATGAGGCTGTTGCCTATGGTGCAGCTGTGCAAGCTGCCATTCTAAGCGGAGAGGGTAACGAGAAGGTTCAAGACTTGTTGCTTTTGGATGTCACCCCTCTATCTCTTGGGTTGGAAACTGCTGGAGGAGTGATGACTGTCTTGATTCCAAGGAATACCACTATTCCTACCAAGAAAGAGCAGGTGTTCTCTACATATTCTGACAACCAACCTGGAGTGTTGATTCAGGTGTATGAGGGTGAGAGAGCAAGAACTAGAGACAACAACTTGCTGGGTAAATTTGAGCTTTCTGGTATCCCTCCTGCACCTAGGGGTGTGCCTCAGATCACAGTCTGCTTTGATATTGATGCCAATGGTATCTTGAACGTCTCTGCTGAAGACAAGACCACTGGACAGAAGAACAAGATCACAATTACCAATGACAAGGGTAGGTTGTCGAAGGAAGAAATTGAAAAGATGGTCCAGGAAGCAGAGAAGTACAAGGCAGAGGATGAAGAACACAAGAAGAAGGTAGAGGCCAAGAACGCACTGGAGAACTATGCCTACAACATGAGGAACACCATAAAGGACGAGAAGATTGGTTCTAAGCTAAGCCCAGATGACAAGAAGAAGATTGAGGATGCAATTGATCAGGCAATCTCATGGCTTGACAGCAACCAGCTTGCTGAAGCTGACGAGTTTGAAGATAAAATGAAGGAGCTCGAGAGCATCTGCAACCCCATCATCGCCAAGATGTACCAAGGTGCAGGTGGTGAAGCAGGTGCACCTATGGATGATGATGCTCCTCCAGCTGGTGGTAGCGGTGCAGGCCCCAAGATTGAGGAGGTCGACTAAGTGTGTGGAGTGATCAGTGCTGGGTTTATATTTTAGTACAGTACTTCTTATATTGGGTACTTTTAATATTTTTGCAATGGTTAATTGGGCAGTATATTGGTTTTTGAGAATATAGTATGCTGTTGAATTTTCATCTTTGATGGCTTTAGATTAGCGTCCTCGATTTTGCATTGTCAATGTCTAGTTATTAGATTCTTTTCTATGCAAGTATATTACTCTAGCCTATTATCTTCTTACTTTTGGGTGCAATTTTAGTCTCAAGTATTTCTTCTTATTGTTTTACCTTGAAGAGAGAGAAGTATCTTCTCTCTGGATCACTGGCTGGATTCTAACCCCACAATTAGGGGTAACAGTTAACCACCTATATAATTTACTAAAAAATGAGTTAGATAATGAACTTTTTATAAACGGGTTAAATATGTATAAGAACCATTATCCATTTAGATAAGGAATAGTTATCTCCTATGGCAAAGGTTCATACCTTATTTATTTTAAATAAAAACCCTTTTAAAAAATTATATTCCACATCTACTTTTTTTATTTTTATAACCAAATATCTATTTATTGTCATCTGCTACTCTTAAGCCATAAAATACAGTCTTGTATTATTTTTCTCTCTCATTCTTTTAGATTTTTCTCCACCCTCTCTCTTTCAACTCCAGTCTTTCTCCATGAGTACAACCACAATTCTCTCAAATACAGATCGAAACGGGCAGCTTTGACTCTCCATCTGAAATTTTTCAGCAAGAATGGAATGGAGAGAGAAGTGAAGTCAACTATGGACAAAAATCAAAAAGCTTCAATATCTGATACGGCCAAGAACCAAAAAAGGCCATCAAAATACCCTTACAACCCTAAACAGACTCATGTGGACGTTGAAAATGGCACAGGTGTGATGATTTAATTTGTAATTTATGATTTATTACAGCCTATTAAGTTGAATTAACTCAATGTGCTATGTTGTGTCCTCTTCTCTTCGTCGTTCTAGGGTTCTGCCCAATCTGGGGTTTTCCGTCCCAATCCACAAGCGCAATTCAAATTCAATTGTAAAGAATAGGTTTTTTGAAGCGCACGTAAGGGTATTATGGTAACAGGAACAGTGGCGTCGATGGAGACAGTCTATTAGAGCGGCTTCTAAGTTTCTTCTTCTCCCCTTCATCACATGCTTTGTCTTCAATCCGGTAATTACGTGCTAATCGTCGGCAATCGGAGGCAACGATGACGGCGAGCGAGGACTGGATACTGATGCTGATTCAACGAGACGATATTAGGGTTGTTCTTGAACAAAGACGACAGAGTTGGGGGCTGAGCAACTTGAATTTTCTGTTAATATATTTCAATGTATTTCAATGTATCTCGCTATATTCTATGTATTTCATTGTATTCATTGTCTTTTTTTTCATTGTATTTCAATGTATCCCGCTGTATTCTATGTATTTTATTGTATTCACTATCTCGTTATATTCCATGAATGTATTCATATATTTTTTTTAATTAATATAATTTATGTATTCAGATGTATTTTATAATTTCTCTGAAGATTGCTATGTTTTTTGGGTGTTTTTCGGTTGAGAATCTTTTTTATAACTGGAAATACAAAATTTATGTGTTATAATTGAGTTTGTTGAGTTATATTAGGAGTCTATTATGTTAATTGATTCACTTTCCGTTTAAAAACAGTGTAATCCCCTGTTTCACGCCGTGAATACAGTCAAATACAATAACCTGTCCGGCTGTAATCCCATGTTTCACGCCATGAATACAGTCGAATACACTCGAATACAAAAATCTGTCTAGCTGTAATCTCCTGTTTCATGCCTAGAAATGCTACTGTATTCATGAATACAGTAGCCTAAATATATCGAATACATTCTAATAAATCTGAAAACATAGCTATAGGAAGTAATATAATAAATGGTAGCTACAACTAGCTAATAACCACTAAAACATAGTGGCTTCTGAAAGTTTCTCTTTAGAAAATGGATAACCAATGTGTCTAACTTCTACCAAAAGTGATCATATGCAAGAATTCATGGATAATATTTACTCATATTATCCGCCGGTTAACTCATTTTTTTCCGTATTAAATATGGGTTGGGTCGGATAATTGATCCGTTTTTTCATTATCCATTTTGACCAGAACTATACCCACCCCGTCCCGCCCCGCCCGTTTGCCACTCCTACCCACATTGTAATATTGAAGATGGCTCAAAGTTTTGGGCTTTCTGTTCTGTAAGACATGAATTAGATTTTTGTCTTGGATGGATATTTTGTAAGTTACCAAGAAAGAATACTTCAATTAAAAAATTAGGCATATTTTGCAAGTTAATCACAGGCAAAAATGGAAGACCGGACTAAAGATAATTACTTTTTGCTCACCTGGTGAAAGGCATAGTAAGTGAAATGGTTGATTTATTTCCTTACCTCGGGTAGGTTGAAAAAGCTGCTAAGAAAAGGGTCATGGTTTTGTAGGTTTGCAAACTTTTTCTAGTTTTACGACCCCCTTTTTCTTTGCACATGAGAGATTACTTTACATGTAAGAGATATATAAAAGTCTATCTTTTTAATTTTAGATTTGTAAGGGGCACGATGCCCCATTCCCTTGCAAAAAATTACTTCAATGAAAAAATTAATGAGTCTTTCACCAGCAGATAAGGACCTGCTGATTCCACAGATTGTTGAAACTATCCAAGGATATCAAACATTAATGGTGTGAATATCAGCCTTACATTGCTAATGCAACAAGACCAAACAATATGTAAATGATGATATATCTCTCAATTTAAACACATCCCTTCCTGCCAACACAAGTTATTGCACTACTATAAGAGCTACAGATATTGTGGTGGAGACAATCTGAAACCTAGGGATGGTTATCAACTTTATAGCTACAACTGAAAGGTTAAAAATCCACATACTGAAACAAACAATAAAAGATGTTCCTCAACTGCTTATCGAGTCTAAATTCATACTATTCTATAGAAATTACAGACCGTCCAAGGAAAATGTTGTTCGTTGAGAAATTGAAAAAACCATCTCAGTAACTAATTTCAAAACATGCCAAAAAGCCACAACCGCCCCGGTTTGAAAAATGCAGATGTAACTTGATTCAAGTTACTTCCTTCCCCTGCTAAGCCTCTGAAGGTGATAATTGATGCTACCCCAAGGCTTTCGGTTCTTGCCACTCTGCAGAAATAGGTATCACAATAAATCTTAATGCGAAAGGCAAGATAACAGGATTTTATCACATGCTTTAATCAAGAAATAACTAAATTTTTATACAAAAATATAGAAAATACATGGAAGAAGCTTACTCTAGCTTTGCTAAGAACAATATTAAAGAAGAAAAAAAGAAGCAATATTCATTATTCAACTAAAGAACAGGCATCCAATTACCTGAGCTTCCATGCAGGTACTCAGAAGTGACTTTTGCCTGCCACATTTCTCATCCTTGTTATGATTTAAAGTCAAACAATTAAGAAATGTGACCATTTCCTTTGCACAAGGTTTTTGGAGGCTTCCAAAGTTCCTTGGATTAATATATAAAGTCCCAGCTTTGCGGCCCATTCTTCTCCAGTTCTACGTAAATATAAAGAGGAAGCCTTAGACATGGCATTAGATTAAATCAAATCAGCAGTTATAGCAGTAGCAGCAAAATCAACAGGCAAAAGACTCATATATTACACTTTTCACTGTGAGAGACAAAAGCAGGATGAAAACATTCTTGATGGAACAGAGAAAAACTATTTCTATGCTGTTTTGCCATCTATATGATTCTCTACTATGAAGGCACCACAACTAAATGCACACAAGGAGGTCAATAAAAGGAGTGAGCAGTTATAAGTTATAGTCACTATTACCATACATACATTAGACGGAACAACTAAAAGTTACTAACAGAATACAAGGAAAAAAAGAGCCTTGAGAAAATAATACACGGTGAAAGTGAGGATTTTTATAAGCTGCAGGTTGCACGACCAGCTGCTCCCTCAGCCTAGTCTTTTCGCACATGGTAGCACAATAAACTAATAACTTTTTTATATAAGTAGCATATTCAAACTTCATAAAGGCAGCAATTTGAGGAGGAAGCTTTAAAGTTGATAGTCCCAAGAAGGAGAGATATTGATACTATTACTATGTTTTCCTACTCTACAAAGTGGGAAATAAAGCTTTTACTCAAGTACTTTCTGTAACAGTTTTCTCAAACAAAGAAAGTTGGAAGAAACGCAAGATATGTTTTTGTTGTTGTTGTTGTTGCAACATGCCGAGAGTCTTTCGGAAACAGCCTCTCTACCCCCGGGTTAGGGGTAAGGTCTGCGTACACACTACCCTCCCCAGACCCCACACATGGGATTATACTGGGTTGTTGTTGTTGTTGTTGCTGCTGCAACATATGTTTTTTGACACAGAGTGTGGCGAATTATGCTTTGAACCTTGGTGACCTGATTCTGCTATTAGCTACTACTATAGACACTTTGGGACCACAATTAATGCAACTATTCTCCCTCTTTCCCGTGGATGCTTAACTTTTTTATACCTATATTACCTATTGTTTTAGCGCATTTCTGATGAGGGTAATTATGCTCTAGTGATCTACGCTTCAAGGCAAGGTTTCCCACCAATGAGCAGTAAGGTATCCAATATCTCTGCAAGTTAATTTAGTTTGACAAGAGTGATACAGATTCAAACGTTGCTTCCCATGGACTGTCACAGACTAACAGCACAACTAAACTTACTTTCTGAAGTAAATTTTATGCTTTGACTATAATAAAACCCTCAGGGCAATAATAAGAGCTTTTCTCATGGTAAAAAATGTAGGGAGCCCGTACTCTTTCGCAATAAGTCGGTCACGAAAGATTTTAATGCCTAAGGTTTCAATTCAAAAAATTGTTTCAAAAGCTCAATTTCTTGCTTTGACTAAAGTTGATTTTGAAACTCTTCAAGCATAGGTAGTTTCAATAGATTAAGCACATCCAATGATAATATGTACTTTTTTGATCAATAACACCTTGTTGGGAAGACTAAGAGCCCACCAATGACAAGTCTAACATTACGTTTATGACAAGGCTGAATACATAGACAGACCGCTACACTTGTCCATTGTTTTCACCTAGACACTTAAACTCACCCCATGACCTATTGAGCACTCAATCTCTATTTAGAATGTGCCAATTAGACACGACAAGCTGGATCAGCTGAGAACACAAGATGCGTGTAGCTCACTCTCGGTGTGA